AAGTATTCAGGCCCCTTCATGGATCACTGCCTTACCGTGGCGAAGGGGCTTGAAGAACTCAGAGAAGCTATGAACTACGCCGAGCAGGGCACACAAGATGAACAGGTCATAGTGGAGAGTTTTGACCAAACGTGATCCACCTGGAGGAGGAACCGGCAAGCCACTCCAGTATCCTTGCCAAGAAAACTCCATGGACAAAGACAACAGGCATATAAAAGTTATGACGCTGGAAGATGAGCCCCTCAGGTCGGAAGGCGTCCAACATGCTACTGGGGAAGAGCGGAGGGCAAGTACAAGTAGATCCAGAGCTGATGAAGCGGCTGGGCTAAAGCCGAAAGGACGCTCAGTTGTGGATATGCCTGGAAGCGAAAGGAAAGTCCAATGCTGTAGAGGAAAATATTGCATAGGAACCTGGAATGTAAGAACCATGAACCTGGGTAAGTTGGAGGTGGTCAAAAATGAGATGGCAAGAATAAATATTGACATCCTGGGCATCAGTGAACTAAAATGGATGGGAATGGGCGAATTCAGTTCAGATGACCATCATATCTACTACTGTGGGCAAGAAACCCGTAAAAGAAATGGAGTGGCCCTCATAGTCAACAAAAGAGTAGCAAAAGCTGTACTGGGATGCAATCTCAAAAATGATAGAATGATCTCGATACGAATCCAAGGCAGACCTTTTAACATCACAGTAATCCAAGTTTATGCACCAACTACTGGTGCTGAAGAAACTGAAATTGACCAATTCTATGAAGACTTACAAGACCTTATAGAAGTGACACCAAAGAAGGATGTTCTTCTCATTATAGGGGATTGGAATGCTAAAGCAGGGAGTCAAGAGATAAAAGGAACAACTGGCAAGTTTGGCCTTGGAGATCAAAACGAAGCAGGGCAAAGGCTAATAGAGTTCTGTCAAGAGAACAAGCTGGTCATCACAAACACGCTTTTCCAACAACACAAGAGACGACTCTACACATGGACATCACCAGATGGGCAGCATCGAAATCAGATTGATTATATTCTCTGCAGCCAAAGATGGAGAAGCTCTATACAGTCAGCAAAAACAAGACCTGGAGCTGACTGTGGCTCAGATCATCAGCTTCTTATAGCAAAATTCAAGCTTAAACTGAAGAAAGTAGGAAAAACCACTGGGCCGGTAAGATACAATCTAAGTCAAATCCCCTATGAATACACAGTGGAAGTGAGGAACAGGTTCAAGGATTTAGATTTGGTGGACAGAGTGCCTGAAGAACTATGGATGGAGGCTCGTAACATTGTACAGGAGGCAGCAACGAAAACCATCCCAATGAAAAGGAAATGCAAGAAAGCAAAGTGGCTGTCCAATGAGGCCTTACAAGTAGCGGAGGAGAGAAGGCAAGCAAAATGCGAGGGAGATAGTGAAAGATACAGGAAATTGAATGCAGATTTCCAAAGAATAGCAAGGAGAGACAAGAAGGCCTTCTTAAACGAGCAATGCAAACAAATAGAGGAAAACAACAGAATGGGAAGAACCAGAGATCTGTTCAAGAAAATTGGAGATATGAAAGGAACATTTCGTACAAAGATTACCATAATAAAGGACAAAAGTGGTAAGGACCTAACAGAAGCAGAAGACATCAAGAAGAGGTGGCAAGAATACACAGAGGAATTATACCAGAAAGATATGGATGTCTCGTACACCCCAGGTAGTGTGGTTGCTGACCTTGAGCCAGACATCCTGGAAAGTGAAGTCAAATGGGCCTTAGAAAGCACTGCAAATAACAAGGCCAGTGGAAGTGATGGTATTCCAGCTGAACTATTTAAAATTTTTAAAGATGATGCTGTTAAGGTGCTACACTCAATATGCCAGCAAGTTTGGAAAACTCAGCAGTGGCCAGAAGATTGGAGAAGATCAGTCTACATCCCAATCCCAAAGAAGGGCAGTGCCAAAGAATGCTCCAACTACCGCACAATTGCACTCATTTCACACGCTAGCAAGGTTATGCTTAAAATTCTACAAGGAAGGCTCAAGCAGTATGTGGATTGAGAACTCCCAGAAGTGCAAGCTGGATTTAGAAGAGGCAGAGGAACCAGAGACCAAATTGCAAACATGCGCTGGATTATGGAGAAAGCTAGAGAGTTCCAGAAAGACATCTACTTCTGCTTCATTGACTATGCAAAAGCCTTTGACTGTGTCAACCACAGCAAACTATGGCAAGTTCTTAAAGAAATGGGAGTGCCTGATCACCTCATCTGTCTCCTGAGAAATCTCTATGTGGGACAAGAAGCTACAGTTAGAACTGGATATGGAACAACTGATTGGTTCAAAATTGGGAAAGGAGTACGACAAGGCTGTATTTTGTCTCCCTGCTTATTTAATTTATATGCAGAATACATCATGCGAAAGGCTGGGCTGGATGAATCCCAAGCTGGAATTAAGATTGCCGGAAGAAATATCAACAACCTCAGATATGCAGATGACACAACCTTGATGGCAGAAAGTGAGGAGGAATTAAAGAACCTTTTAATGAGGGTGAAAGAGGAGAGCACAAAATATGGTCTGAAGCTCAACATCAAAAAAACGAAGATCATCGCCACTGGTCCCATCACCTCCTGGCAAATAGAAGGGGAAGAAATGGAGGCAGTGAGAGATTTTACTTTCTTGGGCTCCATGATCACTGCAGATGGTGACAGCAGCCATGAAATTAAAAGACGCCTGCTTCTTGGAGAAGGGCAATGACAGGCCTAGACAGCATCTCGAGAAGTAGAGACGTCACCTTGCCAACAATGGTCCGTATAGTTAAAGCCATGGTTTTCCCAGTAGTGATGTATGGAAGTGAGAGCTGGACCATAAAGAAGGCTGATCGCCGAAGAATTTATGCTTTTGAATTATGGTGCTGGAGAAGACTCTTGAGAGTCCCATGGACTGCAAGAAGATCAAACGCATCCATTCTGAAGGAAATCAGCCCTGAGTGCTCACTGGAAGGACAGATCGTGAAGCTGAGGCTCCAGTACTTTGGCCACCTCATGAGAAGAGAAGACTCCCTGGAGAAGACACTGATGCTGGGAAAGATGGAGGGCACAAGGAGAAGGGGGCGACAGAGGACGAGATGGTTGGATAGTGTTTTCGAGGTTACCAGCATGAGTTTGACCAAACTGCGGGAGGTAGTGGAGGACAGAGGTGCCTGGCGTGCTCTGGTCCATGGGGTCACGAAGAGTCGGACACGACTAAATGACTAAACAACAACAAAAAAGTATTCAGGTTTGTTTGTGGTTTTAGACAATGCTAGCTCTTCTACACAAATATTTTCAAAGCAACAGCACACTGACTTCATTTTCTTTACATTCTAATGGCGTAAGTTACATAGCCACTTGACTTTCAGACTTCTAGCTCTGTATTAATGTGTATTTGCACCTGGCTTGACCTGCTACTGCCAGCTAGTCAGTGACACTGGCCCCCATTCTCTCCTGGACTTGAATCGTGGCCACCGTGGCTCATGAAGCTAGGTCCCAGCCATATTACCTCTGAAATTCCTGCTTGTTCTAACCCCTGCATCTTTCTGTGAGGGTGAAAAACCTTATTGGATACTTCCCTTTACTACAAGTACGTGGAGTCTAATGTTGTTTAATGAGTTGGAACACTTTGCTTATCAGTAATTTGGAGGTGGTCCTCATATGCTCAGAGACTTTGCGCCTGTTCATCGGGGGAGATAGGAAGCCCAGAACATTTGTTCTTTAGATGTCCCTTTTATGAAGAGGCACGGAGTGAGACCATTGATCCCCGGCTGGTGAGGCTCGCTGACCTCACAGAAAAGCAAAAATGTGACCTTTTCCTGTTAGGCATAGATCATAAGATGACCCGGATGGTCGCCAGATTCTGCGTACAGATCTGTAGGCGCAGACCATCCCCCGACCCAAACTAGGTCGTTAAGATAATCCCCAAACTCAGTTCCATGGGTGACTCTGGGTCATCTCTCTGTGGTAGCTTATCCTAAAGTTTTAAGTGTCTATACGCTTGTCAGAGCTGCTCCCCGATCCTAGCTCACAGAGGATCACGCTAGCCAGCGTTCGCTTTATAAAAGTCTTTATTGATTTACAGTTTCCATTTCCAAGCTGCTGCGTGCAGCTCTACGTCTTATGGCTAGACCGGCGAAGCTCCGTCTGAGTCTCCGCCCCTCGTACACCAACTTAATATCCTCGCCTTACTCCACCTTTTCCGCCTGACCGTCCTTCTCTGGGTCCCTCTGCCCCCCGTGGTCTCCTCCCTCCGGGACTCCTCTGACGCTGACCCCCCGGACCCTCCTGTCTCCTTGCGTCGGGCTTTAGGACCTGGCTCCCTTTCCGGGCTGCTTACTGCGCCGCCTTCCTGTGCATTTGAACTTGGCGCGCGCGCCCAACCTTCCACTTTCCGCTTGACCGTTTCTTCGCTCCCCGATGGGGGTGTGGTCACTCCTGACTCATGCCCTCCTCCCTGCTGCGAGCTGCCAGGGCTCGATCCCTGACGTCCTTCCTCTCCACTGCGCTCTGGTGGGGACGCTGGCCCCGATTTCCAACTGCTGCCCTCTGAACCCCCGCTGGTCCTTTCCTCCTGGGGTGTCCCCCTAGGCCCCCCCTTTGCTCTGGCCACTGGCGCTCCTTTCTGTGAATCTTCCGATTCACTGGAAAGACTCGGAGATCTCGGGTCGTCGTCATCACTCATCCTTTCTTCGGACTCCTCCCCCTCGCTCTCTGTTTCCTCCCTTGCCCTCGCCTCTGCTCCTGAACCCCTGACAACGCTTATTGCATTTATAAATTTTAAATTTATTGGTGTACATTGTTTTAAATGTTTGTTTTCCTTCTGGGATTGTACCTCCAAGTGTGTTTTATAAGCTGGTCTCCGACCGTAATCTGGAGGTGGTCCTGGCGTGTTCACTTCGGCAGCACATATACTAAAATTGGAACGATGGAGGTGGTCCTGGCATCCTTGGCGACATGCCTGCAAAGTGTGGGCTTCTGGGAGTGTATCCATTCATGCCACTGACCCTTGGAATAAGGTTACCAGATTTTTTTCAATGAATCCGGGGACACTTTTCAACTTCAATGGATTTTGTATGGGGACTGAGTTGAAAATCTGGTAACTGTCCCCAGGAAAGGGAGACATCTGGTAACCTTACCTTGGAGCTGCTGGCCGGGTCACTGCTATCTGTGGGGGAGGCGCAGGGCCACCTCGTCCTCTGCCACAGGGAGGTTGGCTTCCATTTGCAATACCTGGTTTTCCTTCCTTCTGTTCACCTGGCTTTTTCTTGGTCTCATTTGCTCCTTTTTCTTTATCTGAAAACATTGTTAGGGGGAAAAACAGGACTTATTTTTTGAACCCAAAGCCAGAATGCAAATTCTGGAGTGAAACATGGCACATGTAAGACATGCTTCTGTGGTTGGCAGCTAGTGGTCAAAGGTTGGAACTGAGCCTGCTCTAGGCCTGTGGTCTTGGGAGGGGTTCCAATACGGATAGCAGACTAAAAACTGTGTAACAGAAACAAAGAAATGAAACTAGTTATTGTTTCAGCTTACCTACGCTATAGCACCCTTCACAAACATTTGCCAAAAAGGTTAGGCTGCAAAGGAGCGACAAGAGTATCAGTAGTTTCTTATAAAGGCCTCTGCTTCAAACAAAACAATCTTTAATGTTCTGACTGAGCTGAGGGAAGGCAATTGCAAACCTAGTTTGAAACCAGCTAGGAGGTCTTGGTACAGTATGTAAGGCATAAGACATTGGACTTTGTGCAGTTCTCCTCATCCTGATAGGGAACTGCAACTTCCATCGGTCCCAGCCAGATTGCCAAGAATCAGGAATAATAGGAGTCCAAAATATCTGTAGGATGCAGGACTGGAAAAGACTGCATTAGGATCCTTCATTCATGCATAACATGAAAGGATGTCACATATGTTTTTTTGGCTGAGAGACTGCTAATCCCACCCACCAAGGTCTTGTGGCCCCCTGCCCACATTAGGCAAGTACATCTGTAAAGGGAAGCCTCTTAAGAATGGACTTCTATGCATAGATTCCAGAATGGTGGAAAGTCTAATCTGTGGAAAGCCATTCTGTAGAAGTCTAATCACATTGGTTTTCCTTTGCAGATCCAAATGCCTGGTGCATGAGCATTTGGGGGGCTTCTGCTTAGCCCCACAGCCCCATTCTACACCCCTTCTATCTGTCCATCCCCCAGCCACAGCTCCCCAAAAGACCTATCTGGAGGCTTGGGAAAATATCCTGAACACCCCCCAACTGTCCCGATAAAACCGGGAGATCCTGTTACTTCACACAAGAGCACAGCAGACATTTTAGGTGCCATGATCTCACCCCACCCCCAAAAAGCACTTTTAAGGGCTGAAATCTCGCATGAGTCATGTGACTCGTGCAGGAAGGTAGCCCCAGAAGATGGCACCCCGGTTTTTTGCTTTGAAATGTTAGAGGGTATTTGAACAATGGGACAAAGCTGAGTTTCTGGAGGGTTCTCCTAAACTAAGGTGATCTTCACCTGGTTTTCAACAATCCTCCTACCCATCCCACATCCTACAGAACAGCCATCTGCAAAGGCTTTTCAAGGGGCACAGATGGCTGCAGTGCAGAGAAGGAAAAAAAGAAAGTTTTCTTTTGTGAATTCCCTTCCATTCACTTCTCTTAATACCGAAGTCAATATCATTTTCTCTGTAAATCTCCTGCAGTTTGTAAACTACAAGTCCCAGAATCCCTGGCAGGAAATGATGCTCTGAGCATCACTGACAGCTGAGGAGGCAGCTTCCTGTAATGGCTTTCAACCTGTTCCTCACCTTGACCCTCTTTTGGATTGCTGGCTTTGGGCGCTGTCTCAAAGGGGTTTTCTTCAGCCTCCCCCCGCGCTTGCTGTGCCTTTAGTTTGTTCCTCCTTTTGTTTTCCTCAGCTTGCTAATGTGAAGAACAAAAGTGAACATCCCAGAATTAGTCTCACCAATAATCACCATCTAATGAGAAGCAAACAAACTAAAAACCCTATAACAATCTTTTGCAGCATCCTTACATTTTGCAATTTCTTCTTGAGCTCGAGATTCATATCTTGGTAGCCTTTTGATATAGCGTTGAGGTAGTAGATACTCAGGCTAAATGGGGGGGAACCACATATGCTATGTCACATAATTATTACAACCATTAAAAACCATTTTTAAAGTAGAAATAGGGAGAAATTTCATTCAGTTCGCATTTTGAACCAAAACAGTTATTTTTCTGTTATTTATTTTATTTTTTATCTGCACTTCACCATAAGGCCCCAGGGTGGTTTACAACAAATATAATATCAAAATCAGCTAAAACTAATTACTGTCAAGGGAACAGGGTGGATCTTAAAATAAATATCTCATGTGCCAAAGTCCAGGGTAAAGAGGCTAGCTTTTGAAATTCACACTTCTCTGAATATTTTGATATAGTTCTCTAATGACAATGTGGATATTAGAGGAAAGTGTTAATAAAACTGCATAAGAAGAAATTTCTTTCACTTGAGAGAATCCAAAATTGACAGATTCATGAATCTCTATTTTAAGCAGAGTGATATAACAACAATCTTCCCTACCAGAAGCAGATGCAAGTGAATTGCACCCTAGACAAAAACTATGGTTTGATGTTTCTGGAGTCCTTGCAACGCTGTGTCAAGTACTACTTTTACACAACCACATCCTTTAGTTGCTATTCCATCCTTGAGGCATCTCCCTTGCCCCCCACCCCTGTTTAGCTGCTTTAAAGGAACTCTGAGGTGAATAATCTCAGAATTCTGGCAGGGATGGCCTAAGAGATGGTCTTGCCTGAGGCCAAAGACAATATGGCATCCCCTCAGCCGCTCCTTCCATTGGCAGGAGCCAAGTGGCCTGAAAGATGAATTGTACTTCTAACACTGGCAGTGGAATAGCATCTTCCACCACACCTGAGCGTAACAAGCAAGTTTAGGGAGCGTATGACAGGCCTGAGGCACGCAAAACTGAGGAAGGGAACAGCTGGTGGGATCAGGAAGAAAGGGGGGATGTTGCTGTGCCCCCTGCCAGCTTCTGCTCCTCAAGGCAATTATCTCAATCTGCCTAACAACAGAGCCAGCTTTGAATTCAGGGGCCATTTAAAAGAGAAGTCCACCTTCCCCGCCCTCCATCCCTTTAGCCCTCCTGCCTCCACTGGGTAGTGAATACATTCTACGTATGTCTAAAAAAATGGGGATGTATTTATTTGTAAGCATATAAATGTGTACTGTACATACACCATCAGTAGTATGAAGGGCAGGATCACACCAGGGTTTGAGAGAAGTCTGAAAACCTTCCGAAACCAGGAAGGGAAATCATGCTCCAGAGTTTCTCCAATGACCTCAAACATTCTGGTTTTCCCGCTGTTAGTGCAAAGACACACAGAGATAAAGGGTGGGAATGTAAATAGTGTTTTTGTTAAAGTAATACTAATAACAAATACAAATATTATTTATTTGTGTAGCTGAAGCAATTACAAAAAACCACGAATAATTCACAACCATAGTAATGCCAGAATATAACCCAATCAGTCTTTATTGCTACCAGATATATTAAACCACTCAAGGAATTTTAGCTTTTGGAGGGGTCTCCTAACAACTCTCAGCACCCTTAACAAATTACATTTCCTAGGATTGGTTTTTTTTTGGGGGGGGGAGCAATGACTATAAAAAAGGTATAACAGTGCTTTAAATGTATACGTAGTGCAAATGTGGCAGTTCACACGACTGAATGCCTATTCGTCTTTTCAGAAAGGGTGGGGGGCTCCTCCATCCCCAAATACCCCTGTTATGTACTAAGCTTGGATCCTAGAACAATAGGCAAGTAGGATCCTAGAATGCAACAACTGATTGGCTTGCAGGAAAAGACCAATCAGGCTCCAGGAGGGAAGCAGAATCAGCCAATCAGACGGGACTCATTGTGTAAATAATGTATATAAAAGCCTGAGGTTTGGGGGCGCAGTTCAGTCACTGTGTTACAAGCGGCAATAAAGAGCATGAAATCACTACAGGACTCCAAGTATATTTCAACCCCCCACGAGGAAAATTAGATTTCACAGAGGAAGATTGTAGCCTAGCCTTTTCACTGATACGTTAATTTTCTGTATGTTGGAATTAGGCGTGCATGAGCTTACACCAAAAGTCAAGGCATTCTCTCTAATCAAGTGGTACACATAGCAGTGGTTTCTCCACAGGGCTGAGGGAGCACCAGGCGCATCTTCCTTCCTACAGCCCAGGGCAAGTGGCTAGGCAGCAGCTCACAGGAGGGAGAAGAGCAGGGCCTTGTTCACTTCCCTCCTGCTCATGACATTCAAGCAGGGGCGCCCACATTTGCAAGCAACTCAGGTGAATCCTGAGAACATCTGGAGAAGAATTTCATACTGCTGACCCTCCTTCATTAAAAGAGCCCTGGAGGGTATTACACATTCATTTGTTATGGGGCTGTCCATGAAAGTGCCATGTGTTGTTTCATGTGCGCTTTTTACAAAATAGTGCAAGAGTGGAAGCACTTAATGAGACAGTGGGGTCGTTATATCCTTGCACAAGTTCTGGGGCTGCACATATACAGATCCACCTCTAGATGTCACACATGGCTTTCCAGAATTATAAATGAAAACTAGCGTGCCTCAGCATCCCCTGTTTTCTAGCTATTGACTTTCTTGAGGTCTTTTCCAGATTTTGAAGCAAAAGAGCATGTTAATGAATCTGGGCCTTATCTTGAGTCTGAGAGCAAAGGACCTGGGTTTCCACACAGCTCAGTAATAATTACCGGTATTGTTGTTTACATCAGTGGCCCTTTGCTGAGTAAGAAAAGCACAAACTTGTGAGATATTGCCAAGACCCACAGCCACATGGCACTGCTGTGCAACCCAGGTGAGGGATGTTTTGGTGGGATGGCGGTGCCAGGGCAGGGTTGTACTTCCTGTTTCACCTCAAGCGGCAAAGAGGGAAGCACTGCCTCTAACTGGAAGGGAAAGAGATAGGGAGGTAGCATTCTAAGTATTTGGGGAAGCAGTCTAGGCCAGCACTGGGATACTAGATCTAGCCAGCAGGCCAGGACCTGAAGTTTGTGGATATGCTCCAGTTTACTCTGCATCCAGTGAACTCCCACTGCTGGTTTGAGAAGCAGTGCGCACACAATGTTTGCCACAATCCATATTTGTCCCTACTCTATCCTTATCTTTCCAACATAAATATCCCTCATCTAGCCAATCCCAGTAGAGCTTGCTATCTGCCAGCCCAGCTTCCAAAGAAACAATCAGGAACTCACTTGAAGTTGTCAATAGTTTCTTTGTAGCCATGTCCTTAATGTCTGCCCCAAACTTAATGTCACATATCACATCAGATGTGGGGCAGGTGGGTATGATCTGAGAAAAACAGTCTCTCGGGCCAAACAGGCCTGTGCCAGGCAGTGCAGGAGAATATGCACAGTTGTGGAAGGAAGCAGAAAGACACAGAGAGTAGCAGAGAAGTGGCATATCCTGCACTGCAACATTTCTCCAATGAAAGTAGGGACATCCTATTCCACCACCACCACCACCATCATTTTACTATTTATAGCCCACCCAGCTGACTGGGTTTCCCCAGCCACTCTGGGCATAAACTTTCCTACACAGAACTTCCTTCAGATGACTCAGGGGTCACATAACTCCATAACCTCCAATATTTCTCTGACGAAAATAGGGACATCCTAAGGAAAAACGGGACAGCTTCTGTAAATCCAGAACTGTCCCTGGAAATAGGGACACTTGGAGGATCTGGGCAAATAATAACAAAACTCCAAAGAGGTTTAAAAGGTAAAGACAAATAGTGTGTTCTGGAAATGCAAAGGGGATGGGAAGTCAGTGTAGAGAGTTGAGGACAATGTGACCCAGCTAAATTCACAAACACTGTTCATTCAAATAAAGCAACAGGCCATATTCTCTTTTTAAAAATGCCATAGATCTATGGGGATATGATTTGTTTTGGCAAGCAAAATATTTTGTATGACTTCTGGAAATTGAAATAAGGCATGAGTAATAGGCCCTTCAGAGACGTAGAAATTTAAAAATCAGGAACAATCCCACATTAACATCTAGTTCAATTTGACCTGTACTTTCCCCCGAGTTTGCGGGGCTGGCGACAGGGAGGAGCAGGCTTCTCCCCCCCGCCAGCCTTCTAACCAAGTCGGGGAACAGCAGGAAAGACGTGCTGCACCTCCCCGCTGTCCCCCGAGCTTGTGGGGCTGGCGGTGGGGCTCTCCTGAAGCCTGGAGAGCGAGAGGGGTCGGTGCGCACCGAGCCCTCTCGCTCTCCAGGCTTTAGCGAAAGCCTGCATTCACCCCATAGGACGCACACACATTTCCCCTTCATTTTTGGAGGGGAAAAAGTGTGTCCTATAGGGCAAAAAATACGGTATATATATTTGTTCCTGACTTTTTTTCCCATTCAACATAATAAATGCTACATGCAGAATGTAAATCTGAAGCGCAACTGAGACACTGCCTTGTCCAGGTACCCTGTGCAGCAGCATCTTTTACATAGTTACTCAGAAGTATATCTTATTAAGTTCATAGTAGAAAAGAATATGTTCTGCAGAGTCTGGCACATTCAAAGAACATCTGCAATGTTTCTGGGGATGTTTAAATATCTGTCCTTGACAAAAGCTGAGGGGGAAATGTTTACTCAGGCTAACATAAAGGCCCTGCATTGGACTGGAATTATTAAATTTTAAATATAAGTGACCCTGTTATCTGTTGGCATACACAATATACCTTTAGAGCACATTTGAAGCCCATTTCCCCCCTCTAAGAATTCTGGGCACTGTAGTATACTTGTCGTAGAGTTCAAATTTCCAGCAATAATGAACAAACTACAGTGCCCAGAATTCTTTGAAGGGGAAAATGGGCTTCAAATGGGCTTTAAAGGTATAGTATGTATACTGTCTTTGTCACACCTATCTTTCACGAAAGTGCATCCAATGTTATAGTTATTTGTTCAGTAATCCTACATCTGACTTTGAAGAAATGGATATAAAATGCAGTAAACCTGAATGGACCACAGTCAAAGGATGGAGGAACGGAAACAACTGTGTAGACAACTGGCAGCGTGGAGAGGAAGAGAATAAACAGCAGCATGGCCATGTAGAAGTTGTTTGATCGTGAGGCTTTGAAGACTCTCTCATGGGGAACATTGCAGCACATCACAGCCCAGCACTGCAGGTACATGGATGTATGGAGACGGATGACGTTGATCGCCGGCAGACATGGTGCATAAAAAGAGCCCATCCTATGAACATTCAATAAGCCATTTTCTCATAAAAATCTACAAAGAGGGTTCTATGGCAGTAACTCTTTAGCTTTTATATCCCTTTGCTTTCCCAGCCACAAACCCTTGGATCTTCTAAGGATTTGCCCCTCCCAACACTCTGCTAGTCCATATTGGTTCGTATTTGGAGATAGGTGCTTTCAAAACAGCCATATTTATAAAGATTAAGTTAATATGGTTCTTATCTTATCACAGGTACACAATAATAAACATGATAAGCCCCCCTGAGAAAATGCATGCATACACACACACCACCCTCCACACAGTTCATCCTCCTCTGCTACTCTATTCCCCCAACCTGGTTGGATTGATCTATTATTATCATTTATTACAGTTGCCAGATTGTTCGCATTGTTTCCTGAATCAAAGTGTATTTCATTTTGTCATAGTGTGATTGTTTAGCGATCCCTACAGGTAGTGCTTACTGGTATTTGCAAAAGCGTGAGATTAAACTATAGGGAGCTCATGTGGTTTTTCTCTGGTCTTGTTTTCTCTTCTGCCTGGTATAGAACGGATTAAACTGAATTGGGGTCTAGCAGAGCTAAAATGGAATTATACCAAACAAAAGAGAAGAAACATTATGACAACGTATGACCTTAATTTTGAGGTAACTATCAGATTTTTTTCCTAACATTTTATGCAAATTTCAGTTTGCATTGAAAGCTGATGTCATCTGTTTCTGGGAATGCGTATGAAATCTGATGTTAGAGCACGCCCCCCACCTGTCCCCAAATTAATATTTGAATGAAATGGGGTGAGTAATATATTTGAAAAAATAATTTCTGGTATTTCACTATTCTCCTCCTTAATGTAATAGTTCAATATCATAGCTGGAAGGCCAAAACTACCACATGTGTAATATGCTGATGTGGAGCTATTCTGGGCAAACGTTGGGGCACAGAATTCTGCATTAGCTGCAATTTCAAAATCAACCTTAAGGGCAGCACACACAGAGCACACTGCAGTAGTCCAGTCTAGAGGCTGCCAAGGCCTGCACTATCGCGTCCTTTCCAGGATTGGCTGTAGGTGGTGTACCAGTGGGAACTGGAAGAGTGCCCTCCTGGCCACTACAAACCTCTACGCCTCCAGTGACATGGATGGATCTAGGAGGAACTCTCTCAAGCATGTCTCTCCCATGTATCGGTCTCTACAGCCACAACAGGTGCTGTAACCTTCCAATAGTTTGACTTTACCTCCAAAGGCACATTCTTCCATTGTGTGTCCCAAGACAGGGATGCCAACCAACCACTATGGAGGTATGTTCCTGCTTCTTTATAATTGTTTATTTTATTCATAATTGAATAGTTTATTCCTAAATTAATAACTGACTGCTGTAGCTGAAGGGTCAAACTGAATTTATTACAGCATAAACGCAGAAACATGTCTATCATATAGAACTGAGCTCAGGGGGATTCACAACAGTGCTTGCCAATGGTGGAGTGTGATGGCATGGATCTTTCTTGAAAGGTAAACACCAACTCCCACATTCATGATTTGCCACGATATTTATAGCTTCCTGTGTTTTTGTCACATTGGAGGAGCCAAATGTAGGAGCAAGGAAGCAACACCGAATAAGAAACTAATAATGATTGCCCTGTATATGCCCTGTATATTCCAAAAGTCTGACAACAACAATAGCTGAATTTGTCACACCTGAAAGGTGGCATCCAACATGACTATGTATTCAGAGAAGGACTCATGATTGAGTCACCATTTGTTACTCTCAATTTATAACAGCTTATTTCACAGCGTCCAGGCATGATTTCAGTGAAGTCACACCACAGTAAAGCTGGTACAATGAAGTGGAGAATCAAGACCAGAGGTGACAAGTGTGATTTTCCACATTTATATCAGAGATTTGACAAGCAAAGCAGAAGAATTCAGTCACATTGGAAAACCTTAACCTTAAACCTCTACAAGATCTCCGTGCATATCCACCAAGACACACTTACCAGATCATGCCTTGATTGAAGATCAGGCCCAACACATTTCCACTAATATCAAATTCTGAATATGAAGGCTGAAGGGAAAGCATAATGAATTCTCTTAGAGTTGCAACAAAGCTTTAAAACAATGTGCAAAGATTGCATATTGATCATTTTGCATTAGGAACAGTTTTTCCTCAAGCAAATGAACAAATCTCCAGAACCGGGGCAATAATATAATCTGAAACACATATGCAAAATAATATTTAAATGACACCTGACTGTAGAGTTTTTAATATAGAGTTCTAGGCCTGCATGGCACTATAATAGATGTAATAGAATCTAACATGTTGGTTTTTAAATAATAAAATGAGATTTAGTGGTTTTTTTAAGTACAAAACAAGTAATAACCAGTGTTTCTTTCTGTTTCAGGTCATAGATGTTGTCAGAAAGTTCAAGATCAGACACAGAACTGTTCTCCCCCTTCTGCCTCTGAACCCCACACTAAACTGTACAAAAATAAAAACTGAACTTTGTTATGTATGCTTTGTTTCACTGAACCAAAATATGTAGCATATGGAAACAGTTTCTCTAGCCTTCCCCAACCAGGTGCCTTCCAGGTGCCCTGCTGGTCTACAACTCCCATGATCTCTCACCGTTGGCTCTGCTGCCTGGGGCTGATCGAAGCTGTAGTCCAAAAGATCCACAAATAACAAATTACATACATGCCTCTAATTTAGGTTGAAATTTTATCTGTATTCACAATGTGGGGCATTGTTATGGGGGCAGAAAGTGGGGCAAAGCACCCAAGTTATGGTCTGGACTCAACTAAGTACAGTGGTGCCTTGGGTTACGAACAGCCTCTGCTGCTCCAGAGAAGCGGAGACGGAGCAATGGATCCAAACTACAAGAAAGAAGATTCCACCTAAACATTAGGAAGAACTTCCTGACAGTAAGAGCTGTTCGACAGTGGAATTTGCTGCCAAGGAGTGTGGTGGAGTCTCCTTCTTTGGAGGTCTTTAAGCAGAGGCTTGACAACCATATGTCAGGAGTGCTCTGATGGTGTTTCCTGCTTGGCAGGGGGTTGGACTCGATGGCCCTTGTGGTCTCTTCCAACTCTATGATTCTATGATTCTATGATTCTATGATAATGAACATTTTGGATTATGACCACTTCAGACCCGGAAATGAGTGTTCTGGGTTGCATTGGGGGTTTTGTGGGTTTTTTTGGCATACGAACGGACGTTCGGGGGTACACTTCTGTTTTGTTGGCACAGCCTTCTGTCACTCAGCCTCCCTACCCAGCTGAGGGATCCCTGCCCCCTCCTGCTTGCACACAAGTAGGAGTGGGATGGGGCTGCTCCAATGGGAAGGGAGGCTTCGCGCTACCTGAGAAATTCCTGCCCCCTCCTGCTTGCACGCAATTGGGGCTGCTCCGATAGGCAGCGTGGAGCCTCCCTTCACAGCTGAGACATCCCCGGCCCGCCCCTGCATAGTTGCTGGGGTCGGGGAGGGTGGAGGCAGCCCGGAAGCTGCATCTGAGAGCCCCTGCACCACCTGAAGGCAGCCAGGCGCTCCCCAGCAAGCCAACTGGAAATGAATCAAAATCACAAGAAAATATAAAACAACACTGACCCTGAACTAACCCTAATTCTAATCCTTACCCTAACCCTAACCCAGTCCTAAAATTAACCCTAACCCTAACCCAGAAATGGTCTTGTTAGATAGTAAAATTCATGTGAAATTGCTGTTTTAGGGGTTGCTTTTCACCATCTGGAACGGATTAATCCTTTTGCATTACTTTCTGTGGGAAGGCACGCCTTGGTTTAAGTACGCTTTTGTTTAAGAACGGACTTCTGGAACAGATTAAGTTCCTAAACCAAGGTACCACTGTAGTCCTGCCAGCAGAAAACTTCCCCTAGCGCTATGGGGCTTTCTCCCCTCCCTCCTTCCCCTAATGCACCCCCAATTAGTTTGGGGGGTGTCAGAAGAGCCCCTGGAAGCACACCAGGGAGAGGAGAGGGCAGATCGTTCTCCCAGGAAAGCAGAAATGCTGGCTCTGATGGAGTGAGCTGCTCAGCACTACACTGAATTCCTCCCTTTAAAAAATGAAAGTTAAAATTAAAGAAGCGTGAGCACTCATTAATATAGTTATAAACTTTTTGCTGGCAGTGACTTCTATGTCTTTAACAGCTGCACTTTAAGCAGAAAATATATATATTTTTAAATTAACCAATAGACATTTTCCTGACTGATGAGGTGCTGGGGGGAAACTCCATATGCTGAATCCCTACTTTCCACACAGCTGTTGAAAACACAAGAGCCCAGCCAAAAAAGTGATTGTCTACATTATAAACCTAAAACGTCTGGCTGGCCTCAGATGCTCTGTGTTGGCAAACCAGCGCAAAGCCCATCAGAATCCCCTGATACAAAGTGCTCCCTTAATGGCGAGGTTAGAAAATTGGACAAGTCACAGTCATTAAATCTCAAATAAGACATCAATCAATCATACTTGGCTCACTTGGCACCATTAAAGAACAAATGCCTTGCTGCTAGCCCAGTACAAATTGCAGGCAATACACACATGATATACAAAGAAGGTGCTGCCTTCTTTCTTATGAAATATTATCAGCGAGATCTGAAGTGGAGCCTGCGCACATGATGTTGAGGGGGCTGGGCTTGTGTGCCTCTGCCCCATCCTCACTTTGGGCCATTTTCTGCTGAGACTGGATGCCTAAAGAGAACTATGTGGATACTTGCATTTTGAAGACCTGGCCATAGCTTGTTCCCTATCTTGTGACATTTTGGTTGAACTAATAGAGGTACTGCCCTACTATGGAATGTTTTGTCTGTGTCATTCTTTTTAGATTTCAGACATATCCAAGATGTTTGCTGTTGTCACCACAGAATCCTGGACTTGGTGAACCTCAGTCTCATTCAGCATGGCATCCCCCGAGTTCCTTTTCCTTATGAAAAATAAATCAAATGCAAAATCTTTCTTGGGAGTGGACTCTGTAGATGGAGCTCTTCAGACAAAGATCAGATTGACAAGGCATTATCAGCATTACGTTTCTAAAGATAGTTTATAGTAGTTTGTTCAACCATGCATTTCCCATATATTCTCCATAAATTCAACAGTATCGTGTAGGACTGCTAGTATAGTATAATACAGCATAGTACAGTGTCAAGTACTGGAACATTTACATTATATTATTGTTATTATTTCAGAAAGAATTCATTTTTTAAAGGAGGAGGAGCAAGAAGTCAAATACTTACAAAGCCATATTCCAAATCCCAGCACCAGCAGTAATTGAAAAACCTGACAAAGACAGCTTTTAGGAAATCACCAATTAAAATTGTGATGTAGGTCGTCACAGTGTCAGAGACCGTCAGCCGCACAAATTCCTGCAGAAACAAGGTTTTCTTTTTTAGAAGCAAAGGGTTGGGTTGTTTCTTTATTGAGAGCGTTGGCAAACGCCAAGGAAGCGACGCTGCTTATCCTCCTGCCATTCACTCCTGGTGTTTGAAATGGGCCACTGGAACACTTAGAAGAAACTTAGAGGACTCTTACATTGTGCACGCATGCTAAATGGGGAGCAGGATGCTGTCCTAAAGTGTTTTGTCAGCAGAATCATCTTGAATCATCTTGCCCATTGCCTCCCAGACACCTTTTGCCCCTCTGTAAAATTTCAGAAATACAGTGTTCAGAGCATCCCCCGGGTCCTTTGCCCACTTTTTCCAGAGGGAAAGGATTTATTAAAGGAATAGTCATGTGCAGGAAAAGAATTTCCAGGGGGCAAGCTGTGTTAGTCTGTTGCAGCAAAAACAACAGGCTTGTGCACTTTAACGGTGCCACAAAGCTCTTGGTTGCTTAGGGAGGAAAGTGCAATCCATGTGTAGATAGAGACTGATTACACACCATACATTTTAATGCGTATTTACATCATATTTCTCTCCCCCCCCCATTGAATCCTGGGAAGTGTAGCTTACACTCTCACAGAGCTACAATTCCCAGCACCCTTGACGAACGACAGTTCCCAGTATTCCTTGGAACATGCTTTAAATGTATGATGCATACACAATATGGGAATATCACCTGTTTGCTTGTGATTGTTTATTTTTTAAAAAATTACTACCCACACTTTGCAAAAAAATAATCCCAGGGTGGGGTACAGTAGGAATAACAATACAGTGGTACCTCAGGTTACATACGCTTCAGGTCACATATGCTTCAGGTTACAGACTCTGCTAACCCAGAAATAGTGCTTCAGGTTAAGAACTTTGCTTCAGGATGAGAACAGAAATCGGGCTCCGGCGGCGCAGCAGCACCAGGAGGCCCCATTAGCTAAAGAGGTGCTTCAGGTTAAGAACAGTTTCAGTTTAAGAACGGACCTCCGGAACGAATTAAGTACTTAACCTGAGGTACCACTGTACAATAATAATTTTAAAAATTGAAAAATATAAAATACCAAATTCTGATACAGAAGGAAAAATGCACATCCTTGGCTAATTTTACTGTGTGAATATATCCAAATAGGCTACCTAGCTCAGGCACACTATTAAATGGAATCCCTTTCATCATTGTGAAGACTTAAGTGGATGTTCCCAGTCATTCATTCTCAATCTGCTCTAAACAACTAGGAAAGAGGTCAGGGTTTTGTTTCTCATATATTCATATTGTATATTTCATGGTGAAAAGAGCTTGATGCATCCTGGGAGATAGCCCAGCTGTGATAACATGACTTGTTTAAGACCATGCAGTAAAGGTTGAGACGGAATTATAGACTAGGCCTCCTCTGGCCAAACCAAATAATCCATCCACAGGAGGGCATGTCTCCATCTACTGGGTTTCCCTTAAGTTTGTGGTTTGTGTTGCTGCCTCCTGACACTACTTCAATCACAGCTAAGGTAGAGATCAGGGATTTGGCTGGAGGAGGAGGATTGTAATTCAAGTCAGGAAGACTTTCATGACTCAGTGATTTAGTAACGCTGCCAAAACACAGAGCAGTCTCGTTGCAGACCCCAAATTTCGAACCATAGATCCCCTCTATTAGAGTGAGCATCGTTCCAGAAGCTTTGGGTGTTGTTGTTTTTTCCAAAATGGCTTTACCTGACCAACCATTGTTTCCCAGCAGGGGCCTCTCGGGACATCCGCAAGGCTCACGTGGGGGGGAGGGCCAGTGACGTTTTCAGGGAGGGTCCCATTGTACAAGTTGGTTAGCCAAATTGTCATGTTCTGCCTCACAATCTTCTCTTCTTCCAGCTGGGAAAAAGGAGATGTTTTTCAACACACAAATCAAATTACACAGAGGCTGCAGCGAGGGGTGTGGGGGATGCGGTAGCTACAGACCTGGCTAGAAACCAGAGAGTCCAATGTTTAGATCATTATTTATTAAAAATTTATGCCACTTAATATAATAAAAATCTCTATGTGGTTTACATAAAGACAATAAAAATATAACAACAGACAATAATATTTCATAAAAGTGAAATAAAATGGAACACAACTATATATCAAAACAGTGTATAAAACATAATTAAAAACTAAGAGTCAGATTCCAGGAATGGCTGGGTAAACACAGAGGTCTTTAAGAAGCATTTCAAAGTCATTGCTGTCTCCGCCTCACAAACCACCCAAGGGAGGCCATTCCTGGGAATACCCCCTTCCATGCTGTTGCCAGGAACAGCCAGGGCAATTCACTGGTCCTGGAATGACCAACTAGATCTCCTTGGAAGGCATTCAAGATTGGCTTCATCTTGGCAGGAGGAGACAAACAACTAAATGTCCTGGTCCCAAGTTGTTTAGGGCTTTTGGCTCAGTAGCTAATTAGTGTCAATCGTTAGAGAGCATTTCTCCAATGAACCCAGTAGGTGGCCTTAAGCAAGCCACTTTTGCTTAGACTGACTTATGACAGAAATAACAGTATTCACCACAACCTTACAGGGGTGTTGTAAGAACCAATGAGATAATGTGCGTGAAGCATCAACACCAAGTTGGTCTGGCCCGCAAGACCATTTTTGGCAGCCCTACGCAACATTCAAGAAGAAACATCTTAAACACTTAATTTTTTATTTTTTATTTTTTTGGTCTCGTGTGTTATTAACAGAAGCACATACATTATTAATTGTGTAATACAGTGGTTTTCGAAGGATGGTCAGGGGTGCTGCAGGGGTGTCCCTCTTTCCTTCCCTCCCTCCTCTGAAGCCCTCTTGCATCTCTGCCTCCCAAAGGCTTGCACAGCTGTTTATTGCAGCAGCCCTGGCCATAAGTTCCGCAGGCGAATGTTGCCTCTGGGAGGCCCCGCTCTTTGGGTCTCCCAAGGAGAAGGAAGAGGAGAGGAGGCTGAGGGAAGCTGTTCAAAAAGGGCTGAGGGCTGCCAGCTCTGCAGGCAAGGTGGGAACCTAACTGGGCTCCTGGGCCCCACAAAGGAGCCACAGAAAGAATGTAGTTGGTCAAGGGAGCCATGAACTCAGAAAGGTTGAAAACCTCTAGTGCAATATATATATAATACACACACACTCTCTTGTGGCTCACTTGGTATGAAATGTTGGACTGCCCTGATCTACACTATATAAATGTACTATGGTGGTTGTGGTTGTTGTTACTACTACTACCCCCCCCCCTGCAGCCTTTCCATTTTAGCCACACAGAAATAGCTAAATACTTTAGAGGAAGGTGGGGAGGTGATTTTCACCAACTGAGCCTTGCCCTTCCTGCTCCCAGTTCCCTGAAAAGGGTGGGAGACCCTCCAGGACAGTGTGGGCAGGTGAACCAGCAAAACCCACCAGTCCTTTCCTCCCGTGGGTTTTGGCCCCTTCAACTACACCAGAAGCGGTTTAGTCATGCTGGCCACATGACCCGGAAAGCTGTCTGCAGACAAATGCCAGCTTCCTCGGCCCAAAAAGTGAGATGAGCACGGCACCCCATAGTTGCCTTTGACTGAGTTAACTGTCCAGGGGTCCTTTACCTTTACCGTTTACCTTTACTGGCAGAAGGGATACTCTGAATCAAACTCCATGTCCCAAGCCAGCTAAAGTTAGTCATGGTTAATTCCAAAGGAAGCTCACTTGTTCTCTTGGTTTCCATTGGACTTATTTGTGACTAATTTAGCTGGACTGGAATATAGAATATATCTTTGTAACCTTCTGGAGCTCAAGACTTCAAACTGGAACCTTCTTCTAGAAAGCTGCAAATAAACAGGACATATAAAAATTAGCCAACTTGCCTTGAGATTGATTTCATCCATGAGAGCAATAATAAATGTGTACAGGTTGCCCAGGAAGAGAGCAAAGATGCGCCCCAGCTGCCACCGGAGGGCGATTCGAGGGTGATAGTTTTCCAGAGCACTGATGACATCAAATACAGTGGGACAGAACATTCCCAGGAGGGACATGACCATGTTTACCTGGAGAGGGAGGGGAGAAACAAGTTTAAGAAGTTTACCTATGCTCTCCTACTAGCAGTTTTAGGACATAGGCAGCCACCATGGGGCCCTTCAGCACTGATGTTTTGCATCAGTTCTCCAACTCCCATCAGCTGTAGCCAGCAGAGTCCATGGGCAGACATGATGGGAATTCCAGTCTACAACCTGAGAGGCATCACTTTAGTACACCTAGTGTACAAAGAAAGTGGATCACCAAACCTTGTTTTTGTTTTAAAATAGATTTAAAAGCTTCTTACAACATTTCCCGGTTGTTGTTGTTTTGTGATGTAATTCTCCATACAAACAATGTTTACAAAGATGCATAACATCACAGCAAAATGTGCATAAAAATGAATATACTAGTGAAAATAACATACAAAAATGCACTAAGAGAAATTGCTTGCAAAAATCTGTACATTAGTCAAAACCACATATTCAGTGAAATTCACAGTAAAATGATAAAAAAAATTAATGATTATTAAAAATCCTGCAAATGCTGCAGTAGATTATAGAATTGAATTTAAGACAGGAGATTGAGAAACTGAGCGAATTGCAATTGACAGATCATGGCATCCTTGATCTGCACAGAACAAGAAATGGGACAGTATGTGTGCCCACATACTTGTATTCTTTTCAGCACCAGCTAAAGACCTTTTTTTATTTTCCAAGGCTTTTTGGATGTGCAAAAACTGATATATGGAATTTTAGATCTGCTCTTAGTAATACTGTGTTATACAATGTGCCTGCTGCCCCACACATACACATACAATTTGCTTTTTTATTGATTTATTGATATTATATTTTTATGTCTTCTTGTTGCCCCAGAGCGGTATAAAAATAGTGTAAGTAAATAAAAGAATCTGATTGTGTAGTTGTGATTAATAAATTAATAAATGCATTCATTCCATTCATCAGACCTCTAGTTCCTAGTAGCAACAAACTAGTAACAAGAAAATACAGCTGAGAGAATGATTAACTGCCATCAAAGAGTAACCTTTAGCACCAGACTGTGAAACCTGCAAAATTATTGTCTATAAAGCAGCTGTGTTTCCCCAGCTTCTGTGTGGTATTATGATTTTCAGTAAACAAGGCTGAGATTACAGCCAAATCTAAACTCTAGTGTTAAGCATTCCCTGGCATAACAGCACCATAAATAATATCTAATCTTGACTGCTTGCTATTAAAATTATACTTTCATTAAGAATTAACAGTTTAGTGCATATAAATCATGGTTTGGCTACCCATTGTTTGTGCCATGGTGGTAATCTAACATCTTCGCTGCAGAAAGCAACAATAAAAGTTTTCTCACATGGAAACATATTTTCGTTTTTAGCAGAACAATCAGATGAATGGGCTATTTTGTTATTTATTGCAATTTACTATTGAGTTCAAAATGATCAGTTGCTGAATAACTCAGGATGTCAGCTATACATTTCATAACAAATTGAAAAATCCTGCCGCATTATCTGAATTTGCTGCAATTTTTTTTTATTGGGCTTTTTTGCATTTACATCCTACATTTAATTTTTAAATAAACCATGGCAGCTTACAATAAAACACCTAATACAAACAATACCCTTAATAATAATAAACACTGCTAAAATTAGAAGATGGGGATTTCAACTAAACCTTAGGAAGAGCATCCTGATGGTGTAAGCTGTTTAGCAGGAGGAGGCAATGGACTGTCCTTAATCAGAGGATGGAGAACCACCTCTCAGGGAGCTGTAGCCGTCAATTTCCCTGAACTGGCAGGGTGCGGGGAGTTGGGCTAGATGACCTTTGACGTCACTTCCAATTCTTATGACACTAAAATATTTTCTAGAACATCACTCCTGTGATGCAGGCCGAGCTGGGGGCCCCTAATACCATTCATATTGGCTGCAGGAGAGCTTGCTAAAATGCAGGAACTGCATCTAATGTCATAATGACCCTCTGAGAAGCAGCTAAGAGGAGAAGAAACCCACCAGAATCTGCAGGGGTGGTCATCCCAAACTGGAGCCTTTTGGTTCCTCTAACTGAGACCTCTAAAAAGAGCCCCCCACAGAGATACTTCTGAGGGACCAGCCCTTTCTATACCAGGGGCCGAACACTCCCTTGGTGTCCACTTGTCAGTGAACATGAGACAGAAAACTGGAGCTGTCTTGGTTCCAGATGAGTACAGGTCTGAATTAAAGCCCCGTGGGTTCCCTCTGTGGTCAGGACAGGGCCCCCAAGAGTCATGAACTTCCCTAAGTTGTGCATGCAGGCAACATCTGGGGCAGCGCAGCACTTCAAAAGTCCATCAGGGCTTTTCCACAGCTGCCTTTTAGTGTCCGGGACAAAATGTGGAGGGCAGCACTTTAAACCACATGGAAAAACATACTGTTTTTCAGTAATGATAACAGAAATCCCAAAACTAAGTACCGTATTTTTTGCACCATACACTCACTTTTTTCCTCCTAGAAAGTAAGGGGAAATGTCTGTGCGTGTTATGGAGGGAATGCCTACGGGTGGCAGGGGGGATCTGCTGCAGTCGTGAGCAGAGGATCCATGGTTCCCCTTCCTTCCCTCCTCCGTGGCTTGCTTTGAAACAGCAAAGCGGGAGAAGAGCCGCTGAGTGGGGAGGAGAGAGGGACAGAGAGCCTGCTTCTTTAAAGGAGCAAAGCGGGAGAGGAGAGGAGCCGCTTACACGAGTGTAAGCGGCTCCTGTCTGGTTGGTTCCTTTAAAGCAAGCAGGTTCTCTGTTCCTCTCTCCTCCTTACTCAGCTCGCTAAATAGCAGCAAAGTTTTTCAGCTCGCTAAGCTGGGGATGAGTGGGGAGGAGGGAGAAAAGCAGAGCCTGCTTGCTTTAAAGGAGCAAAGCGGGAGAGGAGAGGAGCCTTCTCCCCTTATACCCCTCCTCTTCTTCATTATTAGCAGCATCCTTCTCCACCCACCCCACGCATGCTCCTTGTCCCTTGAGTGCTTTTCCTTCCCTCCCCACTTAAAACATGGTTACAAAGCACGGATCCACATGGATCCTCAGGATTTTTGCACTGGGTCACCCCAAATTCACCATCAGATCACATAGCATGTCCATGGCTACAGCCTGCACCAAAAAAATCACGCACCCACTGTTGCCTGGGGCCACAGTGGTGCAAAAACGTGGTTACAAAGCATGGATCCACATGGATCCTCAGGATTTTTGCATTGGGCTACTCCAAACTCACTGTCAGATCACATGTCTGTGGCCACAGCATGAACCACAAAAATCATACATCCACTGTTTCGTTTAGAATATTTTTTTCTTATTTTCCTCCTCTAAAAACTACGTGCGTGTTATGGTTGGGTGCGTGTTATCGAGCGAAAAATACGGTAGGTATTTTGGCTCAGCTGTTAGGGCATCTTATTGCCCTTTTATATTCCTAATGCAACCAATCAATGATATACAGATTTCCACGGACTTGTAACTGGGAATACATTTTCTCACAAAGAAAGAGTCTGTTGCTTTCAAAAGCAATCCCTAGCACCACCCTATGAAGCAAAATGATTTGCCACAGCTTCAGTGTGTCTGCAAGCAGAATTAAATATTTGACTGGCATCCATCGTGTCTTTCTGTTGTTTGAACTGAAACACCTCCTGCTGGAAACCAGAAAACAAATAATACTGCTAAGTAATTATGGTCAATGCAATGGAGATTTCTCCCCCTTAGATGTGCTGAGAACTTTGCCTTCAACATCATTGCTAATGATATTTTAAACCTGATTTTCCATCTCAACTTCATTGCGTGAACTGTTTGGTAACACCAATAAAATCAATGTCATCTCATCATTGCAAAACCATTCTGTGTAGTCTGATAGAGAAGCGATCATTATGGGTCTCTTCAGCTTCAAATGAAATGGCAGCTTTGTTTTTTTTATATACAATATACGGTACTAGATTGTACCTGATTATGTCATACTCAGAGTATGCCTACTGAAATCAATGGACTTCAGTTAGTCAACTAGGTCAAGCCCACTGATTGCAATGAGTCAATTCTGAGTATGAGTTAGTCAGGTATAGCTCTTTATGTCTTAACATAGAATTCATTCCGCAAGTCTTATTTCATTTTCTGATTTATTGCAAAAGAATGTGATTTACAATAACAGGAAATATTTTTTAAAACGTGTCAGCTATTTTATGATGTGCAACCTAGGCTTTCATGACCATTTTGATACAAGAAGCAATATGTATCTTAATCTTTTTTATTTGCTATCACATATCCACTTTAAGAAAGCTATGGAATGTTAGTATCCTTGTAGACTTTGGCAGGCTTCTTGTTCAGCTGTGTGGGCATTTCAAGGTACATCAACTACGTAATGTAGTTCCTTAAGGCTGAATCTGCAGTTCCCTTGTCCTCTATTCAGACAAGCTGACTGTGTTTCCTGTTACACTATAGGAATGATGTCAGACTAATATATAAAGTAAAACATGTAACAATGGGAAACGGAGAAGCGAAGAGGAAGAGAACGTAAGTCTTACATTGTAAGGAAATCCGACTGAATGGAAGCTATCAGACCAAAAGTGATATAGTCGGAAATCGTTTCTTCTTCTTTCTTATTTGCAAGGTAAGAAGAACAAAAGAGCCTCAACAGTTTTAATCCTAGCAGATGTTGTCCTGCTGCTGTAATGATGGCAGGCCAGTTAAAGAGTGTGTAGATCCAATACCGGCCAGGATCCAAATGGGCTTGCATTTGCCCATTAAGTGAATAGGATGTTTTTGGAAAGAGCAAACCCTATGTGATGCCATATCATAAACTCCCTCAAGGTTTAAGATTCTGTTTTTATGTGTTTTTTATTTATTGCATAGCTCAAGTTTTTATTTTTATGTATAATTCTTATGTATACTTTATGCTCATGTGTTTCTCTTAGGTGCCACCTGTACTTGGATTTGGATTTGATATCCTGCCTTTCACTCCCTTTAAGGAGTCTCAAAGCGGCTCACAATCTCCCTTCCCTTCCTCCCCCACAACAAATACTCTGTGAGGTGAGTGAGGCTGAGAGACTTCAGAGAAGTGTGACTGGCCCAAGGTCACCCAGCAGCTGCATGTGGAGGAGCGGAGACGCGAACCCGGTTCCCCAGATTACGAGACTACCGCTCTTAACCACTACACCACACTGGCTCTCTACATTACTTGGTTGCTTTATTCATAAATCATAAATTCATAAATCTGAATATTTCACAATCACATAAACTGCTTTTGCCATCCATTATGGGAAGGAGGGAGAGAGAAAGCACAATGCAATTTCTGTACAGAGAGTGTGAGAAGGGGGTAGGAGATGGGGGAGAGAAAGAGAGAAAAGAGATGGCAGGAAAGGGGAGGAGGAAGAAAAGGCGGTGACAGCCAGTCCGATCATTAGGCAGAGTGAGGCATCTGAAGCAGCTGTGAGACACAAAGTGATGGCAAGATATTGGAGGACAGAGTTGGGTTTGCTGCTTTACAGTGGAGGAGAATATGCTGCCCAGTGTTGACACAAGATTCAACTGCAAGTATGGTCACTTTTAGTATGTGGGAGCGGCTTTCATCTTGTACTCCACCTCAAGCAGCAAAATGGTGGTGCAGAGAGAGAGAGAGAGAGAGAGAGAGAGAGAGAGACAGAGAGACAGAAAAATGGAAGGTGCCTAAAGAAGCCAGGGTGGCTATCTAAAGAACTTTTAACTGAGTTAAGATTAAAAAAGGATGTGTACAAAAACTGGAAAAGGGGGGAAACCACCAAAGAGGAATTCAAACAAATAGCCAGCACGTGTAGACACAAAGTCAGAAAAGCTAAAGCACAAAATGAACTCAGGCTTGCTAGAGAGGTTAAAAGCAACAAAAAAGGCTTTTATGGGTATGTTCGTAGCAAAAGGAAGAACAAAGAAACCGTGGGGTCACTCAGAGGAGAAGATGGTGAAATGCAAACAGGGGACAAAGAAAGGGCTGAACTCCTCAATGCCTTCTTTGCCTCAGTCTTCTCCGATAAAGAAAACAATGCCCGACCTGAAGAATTTGGAGCAAATGATTCAGCAGAGGAAACACAGCCCAGAATAACTAAGGAGATAGTACAAGAATACTTGGCTAGTCTAGATGTATTCAAGTCTCCAGGGCCAGATGAACTGCATCCAAGAGTATTAAAAGAACTGGCAGATGTGATTTCAGAACCACTGGCAGTCATCTTTGAGAATTCCTGGAGAACAGGCGAAGTCCCGGCAGACTGGAGGAGGGCAAATGTTGTCCCTATTTTCAAAAAGGGGAAAAGAGAGGACCCAAATAATTACCGCCCAGTCAGTCTGACATCAATACCAGGGAAGATTCTGGAGCAGATCATTAAGCAAACAGTCTGTGAGCACCTAGAAAGGAATGCTGTGATCACCAATAGTCAGCATGGATTTCTGAAAAATAAGTCATGTCAGACTAACCTGATCTCGTTTTTTGACAGAATTACAAGCCTGGTAGATGAAGGGAACGCAGTGGATGTAGTCTACCTTGATTTCAGCAAGGCATTTGACAAGGTGCCCCATGATATTCTTGTAAAGAAGCTGGTAAAATGCGGTCTTGACTATGCTACCACTCAGTGGATTTGTAACTGGCTGACTGACCGAACCCAAAGGGTGCTCATCAATGGTTCCTCTTCATCCTGGAGAAGAGTGACTAGTGGGGTGCCACAGGGTTCTGTCTTGGGCCCGGTCTTATTCAACATCTTTATCAACGACTTGGATGATGGACTCAAGGGCATCCTGATCAAATTTGCAGATGACACCAAACTGGGAGGGGTGGCTAACACCCCAGAGGACAGGATCACACTTCAAAACGACCTTGACAGATTAGAGAACTGGGCCAAAACAAACAAGATGAATTTTAACAGGGAGAAATGTAAAGTATTGCACTTGGGCAAAAAAAATGAGAGGCACAAATACAAGATGGGGGACACCTGGCTTGAGAGCAGTACATGTGAAAAGGATCTAGGAGTCTTGGTTGACCACAAACTTGACATGAGCCAACAGTGTGACGCGGCAGCTAAAAAAGCCAATGCAATTCTGGGCCTCATCAATAGGAGTATAGCATCTAGATCAAGGGAAGTAACAGTGCCACTGTATTCTGCTCTGGTCAGACCTCACCTGGAGTACTGTGTCCAGTTCTGGGCACCACAGTTCAAGAAGGACACTGACAAACTGGAACGTGTCCAGAGGAGGGCAACCAAAATGGTCAAAGGCCTGGAAATGATGCCTTATGAGGAACGGCTAAGGGAGCTGGGCATGTTTAGCCTGGATAAGAGGAGGTTAAGGGGTGATATGATAGCCATGTTCAAATATATAAAAGGATGTCACGTAGAGGAGGGAGAAAGGTTGTTTTCTGCTGCTCCAGAGAAGCGGACACGGAGCAATGGATCCAAACTACAAGAAAGAAGATTCCACCTAAACATTAGGAAGAACTTCCTGACAGTAAGAGCTGTTCGACAGTGGAATTTGCTGCCAAGGAGTGTGGTGGAGTCTCCTTCTTTGGAGGTCTTTAAGCAGAGGCTTGACAACCATATGTCAGGAGTGCTCTGATGGTGTTTCCTGCTTGGCAGGGGGTTGGACTCGATGGCCCTTGTGGTCTCTTCCAACTCTATGATTCTATGATTCTATGATCTATGATTCTATGAGAGAGAGAAGCCTCCCTAACCACTGTTCCAGCCCACCACTAGCATGCAGCCCTGAGTCCAGATGACTCCTGAGGGAATGTGGCTCTCAACAAGGGGGGCAGGATCCCTCATCCCTGCCCTACATCACCCTGCTCGGTAAAGACAACCCAGCCTTCCTACATACATCTGTTTTAGAAAACAAAACATGCTGGTACGAACTTCATTCCTCTCCCACCAGCCATAGTTTTCAAGGCCTTCCAAAGCAAATTGTTGGGATCGCCTCACAACAAAGTAGATGAGGTAGCCACTCCCAGCTAGTGTGCAAAAGGCAAAGAAATTAGCGAGAACCCTCAGGAATCGGGTCAAGTGGACGTTCTCTTCCTTCCGGCTCTCTTGCTCCTCCACAATTGCTTCCTGTATTTGTTACAAACAAACAAGAAAAACATTCATCAATATTCATGATACCAAGAAGTATAATAGCATTCGCCTAAATTAGCCACCGCCGACCTGGTGCCTGGACTAAACTCTCATCAGCCCCAGCCAGCAGAACTGTTCAAACCATCTGGAGGTCAACAGGTTGTCCATGAATGCAGACTATTTGAAGGTCCGTCTCTGCCAGTATAAGCCTGACCACTCACTCCATTCATAAGGGACACGGCTTTCCTCCGTGTCCTTCATCCTTCAGAGGCTGGCTGACTAAAACAAGGAACAGGGAGTCATGGCTGGAGTAGGAAAGAGAGGGTTAATCTCCCCTCCAAGATTGCTGCAATCCACATAGCAATTGGTGTCTCGCAGGGCTAGAATTAATTTTGAAAAAACAAGAGATGTGGCTCACTTTACACATTATGCATAACACGTTGTTTGACCCTGATGCGTGACTAACAGCAGCAAGGTGTTTAATGGGATATGTAAGCAAAGAAACTTGCAACCAACTATATTGTGGCACAACAAAACTGGGCTGAAAGCCAACCAGCTCAGGCGTCTGCGTTTGCCAGTTCAGTGGTCATCTTCCGCAGCTGCAGGAATATGACAGGCCTTCTTTTTCCTGACAGCAGCTCTCCCAGGTTTCAGGCAGGAGACATTTCCAGCCCTGTCTGGAGATGTCAGGGATTGAAAGTGGTACTTTCTGTCTGCAAAGAGTATATGAACCTCGGTGACATTCATACCTGAGATCAGACTTTATACATTACCTTAAAGCTAGTTGTTATTGATGCAAATTTATTATCTGCTGTTTCAGGATTGCCAATCAAGTAATCCCAGCTCGTGAACATTTTCCAGCTGAAGTTAAAACTGTTATCATCTCCACCACCATCGTCATGGGCATTCTTTGCCATTCTGAAAGGGGGGGGGGGAAGAGTATTTTTTAACATGCTAAAAATGTAATGGGTTGGGCCTAGAGTTGCTCCTCCCCCATCACAGATGGATCTGCGATTCAGCAACGTCACTCCAAGGGAAGAAACCCCCCACTCCCAGTGCCAGTGCTACCTGCCCCCCGTTCAGGAAGATGCTGAGCCCCCCCCCCCCGAGTGGCCTTTCAGAGGGCTGCAGGGAAAGGAGGACTCCATGAGAGCAGCGCCTCCTTCCTCTGGTGCCCCTGGGACTCTGCGGATCTCAGCTCTGGATGCAAACCAATGTGTGAAACAGTCCTCAGAAAATCTCAGGAGGGTGGGTGGGGTAAATCTCGCTTTATTTTCAAAGGGCTGTCAACTGATTAAAACATTTTAGTTGATTATTGGTCAAATGCTTCTGACTAATTGTTTACTCAGTCAATCAAGTTTAATTAAATTTGCATACTGCCAGAATCTCAATATACAGGTGCTCCTTTAAGAAACTGAGGAAGTATAACTTACAATTTAACAAACATACGTCACACCATTAAAAAAAGAAGCTTTAATTGCATAATCTGCAGGTTAAACAATTCTTAGTTGCAATCCAATGCTCATTTTCTGGAGAGTGATCCACACTGAATAAAGTGGGACCTACTTCTCTATCAAGGAACTTAGGAATCTGCTTTACATCAGAGTGAGCACCTCTGGCAAAGGTCTTTCTCATCACCTGCTACCTGATCCACTTCACTGGAGTCGCAAGGGCTGTGGGACTTTTTGCATGCAAAGCGGAGTCTCTTCCACTGAGCTGTGGTCCCTCTGGGATTCACTGGACCCAACAGCATGGCCTGTGGCCCTTCTCTGTGTTTGTTTGCGACACCAAGCAGCGTTCCTGCTCAGACATCATTGAGATTCACTGAAATTGTGGAGGAGGAAATGGTGCTCCAAAATGTGACTTTATGCATTGCCACAGTTAGGGTCCTCCAGATTGGTGTATTTTTGTGGGTGTATTCTACAACACGTTCTTCACACAATTAATAGCACATTCATTGTGGGTTTATTTTGCCTTATTAGTTGCCAGTTGCTATAGCACACTACTGCTGTCCAGAGGGGCAATAGCAAAACAAAAGTGGGACAGAAAACCAAACAAACCCAAGAGCATTTATGAAAAGTTAATTTTAGCAGGAAGTTACAGGATATGTGCTGACTCAGAATGAAGCTGTATGGCCACCCACGGATGGAACTGAAAGCATATGACTGCCCACAGAGCATCATGAACACAAATAATCAAGAATGCACAATAAAAAGGATGACTGAGGGGCCATTAAGACCAGCAGGTAACTTGGTCAAAGAGCTAAAAAATGGACTGATGGGAATATTGATGGCTGATTTGTACTTTGATAATTTCTGTAAATGTCATACCAATTTCATTCTCCCTTTTCTCTCCCCAGTTGTTATGCCTTTCTAGGTACTACCATAAAAAACGAGCCAAGCAAACAAAAAGCTCACAGTTACAGTTGGATTTTGCACTTATCATATTGTTTTCTGTGAAATCATCAACAAGCCAAAGAATATAAGAGGATTTGCTCTTAAGGTTACCTAAATATAGATCAAGATTATCTCGTGGCCAGATGGAAATTTAACACATACAGTGCATGTTCACCCCAGGGTGTTCCTTTTGCTTTGCCTCCAGGGATTGCGCTGCAAGGATTTTTGGGTGGTGGGGAGACCCCCAGTGGGTGGGTGGCAGCTACTCAGCTATAATTCCCTGAGAGGATTCAGTAGGAAGATTTTTCACAAATACAGTATCAAAGAAATATTTTTAATGGCTCCCTCTTAACTGGGTTAAAACAAAATGGTAACTTCTGAAGTGAAATCTTTTTAATCAAGCATACTCTCGGAGTGAAGAGACTAAAATAAATGGCTTTTTTCAAGGGTTTAGAATGGGGGTGGGCAACATTTTTCAGTCCAAAGGCAGCATTCTCTTGTGGGGAAGCTTCCGCAAGCTGCAGACTAGTGGGAGTTGGGCTAGAGACAAAGGAGAGTGGAGTAACTGGTCTGATTCTCACATTTGCACAGTGGGCTGTATCGTGGCCATGCAGACCACGGAACAAAGAGGAATCTGCCAGAGGCAGATTTAGGGCAGCACAACTGGTTCTGCTGCACTGCTCAGCCTCAGTGAGGATGGACCCTATGCGTGTCAATGGGGGTGCTCATGGAACTTTGAAGTGTCAGGCATAGCCCTATTGGCTTTAGCCCAAACGTAGCAGAGTTTTCCTGCACAGCGAGGAAGCTAGTTGCGGCGGTAATGACTAGTCAGCTAGACTCAGAATAACTATTTACAGGATTTATTAAAAAGGAAAAATAAAACCAGCAGAGTTTCTGCATACAAATCAAAGCAAAATAAATCCTCTCTTTCTCTCTCTCAAAACCATACACAGCACTTCTACTCCTAACAACACCTCAACACCAAACTGTGCTAGCATTCCTAGATAACAGAGCAGAGTGCTGGTCGTTAACCAATCAGAGTAAGTAGTTTCTAGGTCAAGCAGACCTGGGCTTTCTGCCAAGAGTAAATTGACACTGCCTTGAGTTAATTGTGAGAAGCCAGAATCTGCAAGTTTCCCACGAGAACCAATTAACAGAAACTGAACACCCCCTCACAGATTCTGCTGAACAATTAACACCAAATACACCTATGTAGGAGATTATTTTTCCAGCAAACCTAAACCCTTGCACATTTGCTTGTTCTTTATCTTTGCCAATGGTTTAGTTAACACATCTGCTACATTTTCTTCACTTGATACATAAGTACAGGTGATTATATTGTCTTGTACACAGCAACGTACATTTTGGTATTTTACAGAGATATGTTTGGAACGTGATTTGAAACCCTCTGTTTTACTTAAGGTTATACAAGCTTGATTATCAATGTAAACTTGTACTGGTTCTCCACAATTTACATTTAAATCTGCCATCAAATGCTTGAAATAAATCACCTCGTTGCACAATTCACTCAATGCGGCGTACTCTGATTCAGTTGATGACACACTTACAACGTCTTGCTTGCGTGACCGCCAGCTGATTAAAGCTCCACCGACCATTATGACTAGTCCTGTGACAGATTTTCTATCCGGCAAATTTCCCCAGTCACTATCACAGTAGCAACTCAACATTTCATCCTCTGAAGAATTTAATTGTAACATATAGCCAATTGTCTGTTTCAGGTACCTCAGAACTTGTTTTACCCCTTTCCAGGCATTTAGTGTGGGTTTTGAGACCAATCTGCTTAATATGCCTACTGCATAGCTAATATCAGGTCTGGACCACTGTGCTATATACAATAAACTTCCAATTACAGAGTGATATACAGCAGGATGTTCAAATTCAGGACTCTCATCTATATGAAGTGTTTTTATGAAACCTGGATCCATAGGCACCACTGCCCCTTTGCAATCCTGCATCCTGTATGTAGTCAGTAGTTGTTTAACTTTGTTCTGCTGACTAATTAGGCAGCTGCCATCTTGGGCCCAGCACACTTCCAACCCTAGATATGTCCTAACCGGGCCTGTCTTTCACTTTGAACTTACTGGACAATTGCTTGGCAAACCTTTTAGTTTGTTTATCTGTTTTGCAGGCATACAAAACATCATCTACATAAATCAGACAAAACTCTTGATCACTGCCTGTACCACGTACATAAACACAATTGTCAGCTGTACTCTGCTTGAAACCAAATGACACTAAGGCCTCATGGAAACATTTGTTCCAAGATCTTGCAGCCTGTTTGAGACCATATAGAGCTTTGTTTAATTTTAACACTCTATTGGAACCTGTCTCATAACCAGGCAGTTCGGCTAGATACAGGTCTTCTGATATTGATGCATGTAAATATGCAGTCTGAATGTCAAAATGGTTTAAAAGGAGTTTTCTCTTTGCTCCAAGCGTTAAAATCAGCCTTACACTGTCCCCCTTAGCAGTAGGGGAAAAAGTCTCGTCATAATCTTTTCCAGGCCTCTGAGAGTATCCTTGAGCCACTAAACGAGCTTTGTATTTGTACTCTCCTGTCACCAGAGGTTTAAGTTTGTACACCCACCTGCAGCCTACAATCTTTGCCCCCTCAGGCGCTGCTACTGGTGTAAAAACCTTGTGCTCATTCAGAGAGGACATCTCTTCCTCCATTGCCTGTTTCCAGCGCTCTGCCTCCTCTTTTGGTAACTTTAACACCTCCTGAAAACTCTTGGGTTCTGCAATTACACTAAACACATTTGCAGTATCTGGAGAAAAATGCACCGGAGGCACTCCTTTGTTTTGTCTTTTAGATCTTCTGGGAGAAAATTTTCTTCTGACCCACTTTCCTCCTCAGAACTACGACCTCTCTTTTGTTGCTTAGCAACTGGTCTTTGGCTAACTCCACTTTCTTGAGAGCTCTTATCTGAACTTCCCTCCCCCTCAGACTCTGATTCTCTGTGTTTACCTTCAGAGTCATGAAGCTCCTGGGAAGGTTCAAACCAAACCTCAGTATTGGCATGTAGTCTCTCCCAGCCACTATGTTCACAAAAACTGGCATTCCTGGAGATCACAATGCCATTTGTCCCTTCAGCAAAACGGAAACCTTTTCCCAGCTCCTGGTAACCCACAAACACTAACTGTTTGGTCTTAGGATCTCCCTTCTTTCTCATTTGTTTCGGAATTAATACCCAGGCTGTTGATCCAAACACATGCAAATGGTCAATTTTGGGTTTTTTCTGAAACAATTTAAAGTACGGGGTTGTACCTATTGTTTGATGAAAGAGCCTGTTTTGGAGATAACACGCGGTGAGCATGCTCTCCCCCCAATAAGACATGGGTAAATCAGCATCATCAAGCATGGCAAACATCATATCTTGTAAAGATCTGTTTTTTTCGCTCTGCAACGCCATTCTCCTCTGGGGGAAAAACGTTCGTTTTTCTATGCCCAATGCCACGCTTTTGTAACCAATCTTTAAAGGCATTTGACATAAATTCGCC